CTGGGAGGATAGGGGTGTTACAGTGGCTGGAGCAGGGGATAATAATGCCTTGTTCCCGCAGGGCAGTCATGACTGGAGCAATTCCAGCCTCTGCTTTGGGGTTTATAGGATACTGAGACAGGCAAGGCAGAGGTTTGGAGGAATCAACAATAATGCAGACGGGGTCAATATGTAAATGGCCCACTTCAGATGGGTGGGATTGGCCACAGAGAGGATGGGACCTGTGAAATTAGGTGTTCAAGGGACGGGACCAATGGGCAGCAGGGAACCGGAGTGGAAAGGGGAGTTTCAGACAGCAGGGAGGCTACAGAATCACTCAGAGAGGACTGAGGGATTTGTAAGTAGACACCATCCGGGGAACAGTAGATGGTACAGCCAAGTTTACATAACAGGTCCCGACCCAAAAGGTTCACCGGAGTCGAATCCAAGAGGAGGAATGCATGGTCCGCGGAAAGGGGACCAACCTGGACTGGTAGAGGCTTTGAAAGGGGATAAGGGGTTGGGACTCCCGTAATGCCCACAGCGGATATGGTTTTTTCAGAGCGGGGAACCTCAGGCAGGTCGGCAGCACGAACTGCAGAGAGCGAAGCTCCCGTATCAACAAGGAAAGGGAGAGAAAGATCATTAATAGTCAAAACACATTCACCCGTGGGAGTGAGAGGTAGTAAAGGAGCTAAAATTTCCTGAGGTTTCCTGGTGTTCTGTCATTGCTGTGGGACAAAGTAAGTCTGGGGACTGTCGGGCTGTGCCGACAGGGGGTCTAGCTGGTTGTTTACAGAGCTATTAGGCCGGCGCGGACACTCGTTTTTCCAGTGTCCGGGTTGTTTACAGTAATTACAAACACCCCCAAAACCCGAAAATCCAGTTCCACGGCCCCTCCCGTGACCATGTCCCCCTCCCCTCGGATTCCACTCCGGAGAACCTTTTGGGTCAGGACCTGTTATGTAAACTTGGCTGTAAGTCAGCTGGATTTTTGTTTGTTTGCCCATTGTCACCCAGGTTGACATATATACTAGAGCAACCTAAAAAAATGTAAAAAGAACGAGGAGTACTTGGGGCACCTTAGAGACTAACAAATTTATTTGAGCAGACTCATGATGACTCATTACACAAACTAAAAACTATTCCCCATGCTAATTTTCCCCCTACTGCTACTCATGCCTTCTTGTCAATTGTTTGAAATCGGCCATCCTGATTAACACTACAAAAGTTTTTTTTTCTCCTGCTAATAATAGCCCACCTTAATTGATTAGTCTCATTAGAGTTGGTACAGCAATCCCCATTTTTTCATGTTCTCTGTGTATATATATATCTTCCTACTGTATTTTCCACTGCATGCATCTGATGAAGTGGGCTTTAGCCCACGAAAGCTTATGCTCAAATAAATTTGTTAGTCTCTAAGGTGCCCCAAGTACTCCTTTTCTTTTTGCTGATACAGACTAACACGGCTGCTACTCTGAAACCTAAAAAAAGTCTCTCTTTTTGTTTCCCAAGGAAGAGTTCTTGAATTTTTATCTCTTTAGGAGCTTGTTACAGCGCCTTCACTACTCTGGGAAATATCAGGTATCTAGATATTTATGCCTAGATCTACATTTTAAAGAATGAAATAGGTTATTTTGCATTTCTTCTACCAAGTCCGACCTATTAACTATCATAGGCAGTGATGCTGTAGCCAGGTTGGTCCCAGGCTATTAGCAACACAAGGTGGGTGAGGTAATATCTTCTATTGGAGCAACTTCTGCTCGTGAGAGAGATGAGCTTTTGAGCCACACAGAGCTCGTCTTCTGATCAGAAGCTCGTCATTCTTGCCAACAGCAGTGGGTCCAATAAAAGCTATTAACTATCAACCATTTTCATGGATTTAAGGCCAAATGGGACCATCCATAATGGTCATCTACTCTCATCTCCTGCATAGCACTGGCTGTAAAATTTCATCCAACAATTCCTGTAGCGAGTCCAGTGACTCATGTTTGAACCACAGTCCTCTGTGCCAGTTTTCCAGGCTGATATTCAAATAAATTAAAATCTCCAGTTCACATCATCCACAATAATGTATTGATTTGCATTCTTCTACAGCCCCCATTTCCAGGCCATCTTGGTATCACGCATTCAACTGGAAAACGGACCAATTCATCTTCAGCCAAATATTTGACACAGGCCCTAACTATGACTAATATTTATATTGTGATAGAACAAAGAAGCCCCAGTCAGGCCCTGAGGTCTAACTGTGCTGGGTGCTATACTGAAAGAAAGGAAGACAGAGATCACATGTCTAAAAGCCTACAATGCAAAGAGATAAACACCAGACAAAGGGTGGGGGAAGGGATGCGACCAACAGGCAGAAGGATGGGGTGAGCATGGGCACGTCATATTAATGCCAGGACTTTTTGTCTTTACTGTATTTGTTTTATCTCTCTTATAAAACTGAAGAGTCGGGGGACTGTGGGGCAGTCAGGGTTGCAGTGGGGCAAAGGGAGGAATTATGGGAGGGGGAGGGAAACTGAAGAGCAAAGACGAGAAGGGTTGTGGGAAATGAGAAGCATAATAGGAATGAATGGTAAGGTTGGGCATTTGAATGGCTGCGGTGTGAGAGAGGGGCAGGGTGAAGCCACTCCTGGGAATGCAGAGGTGACGGGTGGGGAAATGCAGCATCACCAATTTTCTTTCTTCCCTGCCCCACACTTTCAGACTCAGTTCCACCCAGCGACGGAGTCTCCACCGGAGCCCACCATGATGCCGCAGGTACTTTGCTGTTTGGCTCGCTGGATTGCTTTGACCCAGAAGCGCTCTCAGGAGCACAGTTCAGAGAGGTCTTTGATGAGGAAGGAGAATTAAAAGATGCTGTGGTCTACAGGCTCATCAAGCCAAGGCAGAGGAGGGCAAAGACGAACCACTTGTAAAGCAGATGACAAATCTCATACGCTGGTGCTCATGGGAGATTTTAACCAGAGAGAGAGAGAGAGAGACAGCCGTCAGCCTTAACAACTACCATCGCTAGCTTTGCCCTAGATACCCAGATTAGTTACCTCAGCATTAGCAGTGTCCCCGTGGTAGTTCTTCCAGTCAGCACAGGGAATGTTGGCAGGTCAGAAGTAGCATAATCTGTGTACCTAAGGCAAAGTTAGCAAGTTTTAAGGGTGATCATATCTCTCTCTCAGTAATAACAATCTCCTGCAAACACCAGGCCACGAAACTTGTCACCCCCACTGCTTACGATCACTACCTCTGGTGGGCTATATTTATTTGTTTCTCTATCACCCCACTCCAGCCCCAGCCCACTTGTTTGTCTCGTCCACCTGTTACACCTTTTCTTTAAGATGGTAAACTCTTTCAGGGTGGGGACAGACATTTATACCCTTATACAATGCCTAGCACTATAAAGCCTACCCTGGTTGTGGCTTTGAGATCTTACTACAGTGTAATTACTTTACTGCAGTGTAATTAGGCTTGGAAGGATTAGATTTTTATCAGTAAATGTCAATAAATGTTGATTTCACCATACATGCACAAACTGATGAAAAATATCTCCATTGATAATTGAAATTTGCAGACAGGCAAAGTAAGAAAAATGCTTCTTAGACCTTATTAGAGTTTGATTTAAAGATGTTTACTTTGTATATTTTGACATGTGATGTTGACAGTTCATGTTTTGATGGCTATAAAGCTTGAGCTTTTTGAATCTCAGTCATTAAATAATTATTGTCTGCCCCCCATAATTGCCTGCAACTGTAAAATTTAAATTGACAAAAAAATACTTAATCTCCATAATTTTGCATAACTGTGAATATTTACATCAATAAAAATAAACCAATATTATCTGTCAAAATTATAAAAAAAATAAAAATTGAATTCTTCCAAGCCTAAGTGTAATATTAAATAATAGTTTTCATTTTTCAGCTTGTCTATCTGTTCTACAGCTAGAGCTGGGAGAAATTTTTTGGATGAATAGCTTATTTGCCAAACCCTGTCATTTTGGGTTTATTGAATTCAAGTTGCATTCGACTACTAATTTTGATTTTAAAAAAACCTGAATTTTTTTTAAAGAATATAAATGTTTTGTTTTGACATTTTCAAAATGAAACATTTTGACGTTTGTAAAAAAAATTTATGGGAAAAACACACCTGACAACTGAACAAAACATTTCATTCTACCTGAAATTATTTTTTCCAAGCAAGAAAACTGAAAAACTTTCATTTCAGTTTGACCAAAACAATTTCCCCCCCCAATTCTTTGGTTTGCCACCAAACCAAAAAAAATCTATTATTCACTCAGCAATGAGTGAGGAGTCAATAGACTCAATTCTTCATTCTCCTTCCTCTCTTATTCTAAACCACAGGATTTTACGGCTTCCACTGACATAATTATCCATATGTGTTCTACCAGTACAATACCCAGCTCCTGCAGACAGGTCAGATACACAACCTTTTACCACAAAAAATAAATTTAACTCTGCTTGGGTTAAAACTATCTGGCCAAATATACAACTAGTCAAGTGCAAAGTGAAGGTCTGACTCTTCAAAGCCTGTAGGTTTCCATTCATTTCATTAATTTGCAGGAGTCTTCACCATCATCTGTTCCACCTGACAATTCATCTCTTTGATTGATGCCCAGCTGGATCAAGTGGATGGATTCACTGGTGAATGCCCATTTGTGGTCAGAAGAAACCCAAGGAACATTCAGTCATCTCTCTTCCACAAGTAGAAGAAAAAGTAGCAGAAATTGGCTACTTGGAAGTTCTCTTGTCTGTATTAACTCTGATTAATAAAAAGCATGCAAATAACGATGAAACACATCACTCCCTGACTCAGATAATACAGAAAAAAAGACACCAGGCTACTCCCTCCTCCCAGACCCCAAGCGACTTGCATTCTAGCTACATATGTATAAAAACAAGTACCCAGAAATGCATTTCTCAGGTTTAACTGTCAGAGGTGATGCACAAAACAAGTAAGACAGAACCTAGACCTAAAGGTTCAGAAACAATAAAGCTGAATATTGATTAGAATTTAAACACCTTTTATTTCAGAACTAAGAATAAAAGTGCAATGTGAGGAACACAAAGAGTGTCAACAGCTGTTTATAGATACCACATATTACCATTTATTTACTTTGCTTTTAAAACTCTGTATATTAATGTAAAATATTCTGCCTTGCTCTGTATTTAAAAAACACCAACGGTGTTTTCTTACCTATACAGGAGTCCTAGAGTTACATTGGTCAGAAATGACAAGGCTGTTAAAGAAAATACATTATTATCCTGGAGAGGTTGGGAGTGTTGGAGTCATGATACCCTTATTCCAGGCTGCTAAAAAGCAAGGTAAAACTCTGAGCAGAAAGCAGCTTGCAGCCTGGTTTATACATTAAGATGCTTGCACCCTGCATAAACCAGCCATAATCAAGTTTAAAAGAAATAAAACGGTTGTGTCTAATGTGGACACACAATAGCAGGCTGATCTGGTTAACACAGCTCCCTGCTCTAAACACAATGATGGTAGTAAGTACATTTTAATGATGAAAGACATCCTGTCTAAATACACCTGGGTGGAAGCCCTAAAGGATAAAACCAAAAAGAGGTGACGAGGGCATTTAAAACTATTTTCAATCAAGTCAAAAATTATAGATGGACTGTGGAAAAGAATTTGTAAACAAAGCTTTAAAGAATTTGTTAACACAACCGGGCACATACTGTTTTGTTATCAATAATGAAGTTAAAGTGGGGGTCGTGGAGAGGGTTAACAGCACTTTAAAACGAAAGATGAGGGGGTACTTTACATCCCACAGCACCTATTGGTACCGCAACATGAGGCAGGCTTTTATACACAGTTACAACCGAAGTTACCACAGCAGGCGACCGACCGATGTTAACAGTTCTAACGCGCTGGCTGTGTGGAAAACGGTCTAGACGGGCAGTTTCAAAATAAAGTGAACACAATCCTTTTTAAGATCACGTCCTAAGAGTACCTGAATCATAAGGGGCATCAGTTAATTGGGGACTGCTATGTCCGCTGTTGCTTTCACATCTGTGGCAGCAACAATGAATGTATCACTATCATACATGGCAAACTGCATTATGTTCGTTGGAGTAAGCAGCACATCACTACGGAAATAAAGACAGACCAGAATAAAAACATTTCATTTCGTTCGGAAAGCTGATCGTTCAATGTCATCTGCACTTTGGGAAAGTTGAAGGACGGTGACCATAAAAAATGATGGGGACCCCTCTTTGTTTAAGAACTACTAAAAGGCCCAGGCTGGTTATGCCCTATTAGGATAATCAGGGATTACCTGTTATGTAGGGGGCTGAGTTAGACTGGATATTCCACAGTCTTTTTAGAAAAGCTGTGCTGATTCTGAGACAGGGGCTAGAAATTATTAAGACTCACATGAAAATGGATGCAAAACATATAACCAAAAATGAAGTGACCCACATATCTAGTGCCATTACACACAAGGAAGGCAAGTACATGCAACAGGGAGGCTCTGGTCTAGTAGTGATTAGGAGAAAAAGAGCAGCGTTGTGCATCCATTTATAGGCCCTCCCATGCCCTTTAAAAGGAAAGCTGCCTAAAGCCATCGCAGACAAATGTGAAAGCCGTCCGAAGAAGAAGACCATAGATCATGATAAAGGGGATATAGACTCCCTGGGGGGGCCACGAGCAGGTTTCCGGAGGGCTGCCAAGCAGGCCAGAAGTCGTCTCACTGGAGCCCAGGGTAGAAAGCCGAAGGCCCACTGCATGGGGATGAAGCCTCGGGCACTGAACCCCACCACCTGGGGCTGAAGCTGAAGCCTGTGCAGGCCCTAGAAAATTGCCCTGCTTGCTACCCCCTAACGCTGGCCCTGGCTTTTAGATGGAGAAAAGCAGTTATGGTGGTACAGGTGGGCCGTGGAGTTTTTATAGCATGTTGGAGGGGCCCCAGAAAGTAAAAACTTGAGAACCCCTGTTGAAAACACAACACAGCTTTAATTCATGGCGGTCCTGAAGAATGTGCTGAATCCCAGCTGGATTTATTTCAAATAGCCCCTAATCTAACCAGTATTGAGAATCACTTTTCTGGTGAGGTGCGACCTCGGCTGCTTTATCGGTGAATGCCCCTCGAGAACGTTTTGTTTCAGGACACAGGGATCATCACTTAGACCTCAGCGACACTTTGCAGTGCACATGCTGCAAGACAGCAAAAGAAGACGGTTCAGACATTGATGACAGTGCCAGGATCGCCCCATGGCCACCCTTTGTACCAGCTGGCTGTCAGCCAGACAACAATGCTTACCCTTACCAAGCCTTTATAGAATTGATTTTAAACTACCACAATGAAATCTTCTCTACGCAGGTGTCCCCCAGAGGATTTCAGGAAGACACAGAGGGAACTCACGAGAACACCACCTGGCTGGTGTGGGTAGCAGGGGGTTTACTCCACAATTTCATTTTTCAAGAAAAAATGCTGCTGAACGGTGTGGATGTGAAAATTAAACTCACACATAGCGAAGACACTTTTTGCCTCATGAGTGGGAATGCCGGTCAGAATTATAAAGTGCATATTTAGTGCCGCGACTCTCTTTCTGGATCGTCTGAAAGCGGCTCCAGGGGTCCTTTGGGGACATGCAGCGGCTCGAATGACAGCCAACGCAAAGCGCCCTGGGGACTGACTGGGGATGACAGTATTTAATATTCCAGCCAGCAGTCACATCAGTAACCAGGAAAATCTCTTTCTGGGGCAGTCACCCAAGCAGCTCGTTACTGGATTTGCAGATAATGATGCCTTCGGTGGAAATTATGCTAAAAACCTTTTTGACTTTAAACATTACAATGCTGCCACAAAAATTGTTGCCATTTTCAGCCTCCACTTATAGACCATTTGTAGTGTGGCTGTCACTTACCCATGGCCTGGCTACCCCCCAAAACAGCTGTTCTTGGGGAATTTTTCTAAAGGCGCAGTTCTCTTTGCTCTTTTGAAGCTGGTTCGCGAGAGCTTTCTTCTTCTTGCTGTTGTTGGGTATCTTGGTAGATAGCGTATGATGCCTCTGCTAAATAACATGCATAAAACCCAGTTTTAGGATCCAGTAACAAATATTTTTAAAAGTTTTAAACAAAATCCTAGATTTTTAATGAAAAATTATTAATGGCGGTAAATTGCTGGATGAGGGATTTGAACTTCTGCAGATTCACAGGCTACTGGGTCTTAAACACAGCGGATTAACCACTCTTGCTCTAATCATGTTAGGGTACAGCTTGGCAAATTACTGTACTAATGTTTCTTCAGTATGTAAATGCATAGCAGAGCTGTCAAAACTAACCCCTTCTTTACACTAAAAGGGATGATAAGCATCTTTTAAAAACTTTACCTATGCACTGTCATGTTTATTTCAAATTACTTTTGAGTGACACCAGAATCTTCTGGTTGTGTATGGGAGCTGAGGGGAAGAGCAGGGATTCTGCATGGTTTATCTCTCCTGAAAACTGCTCTCTGATTACTTAACCAAACAGTCAAGTCATCAGTGTTTCACATTTCACAAAACTCCATATAGAATGTCTAAATAGCAGTCATTTGTAATGGTAGCAAATTTTGATTCACTTTAAGTCTTGAATATATTTAAGTTATAAGCAAATTTTAAAAATACAGTTATTTCAAAAACTTGCCACACTTACAGCATCTCAAAACTGTTGTGTAAACAGAATCAGAAACCCTTAACCTTTGCAATTGTAATAATAATCACAAATAAAAACTATACCTGTGGTCTTGGATATTATTAGGAATGAGGCCATTTTGAATTTGAATGCTGACTTGGTCTAAATTCCACCATATTTGGGCAAAAATAAAACAACAAGAAAACAAACAAAAAATAGATCTATACATGAACCTGATCTTTAGGAGTCAAGTCTTTTTTGGGGGGGGGGAGGGGCAGTAATTTCTGTAGCTATGCTCAGTTTCAGTCTTTTTTTGACACCAACATACACATCTACAATCTCTCTTGTAATTGTTACAATCAGAACAAGATGCAGAGAACTAAACTTCATTGTTATCTTCAGCCCGTAGGCGTCCATGTAACAGATTCCTGGGGCTGTTTGTAACTCTCAGTTTTCAAATGAAGAAACAGATTTTCCCATGAATTTAGCAAACTATGTCAAGGGCACCATTGCTTTCAGGAAACCAATAGTCAAGTTTTCAAACTCCCTCAGATACCAAGGCATATAGAAAGAAAAGGAAGGACCCAGACAAAATGTCACCATTTCTGCAGAGAAACTTTTTACATTTTTATCATGAAAATGGCAAGTTTTCATTTTCACTGAAAAGACTGAAACATTTTAAATGAAATTAGCAAAAGCACCCACACAGCTCCTGGCCCACACCCATTTTTAAAGAGGTATCCGAAGAAGCATTGCCTTTAGGAACTGTCTGAGGGGGACTGAACAAAAATCTCCTTTGAGTGTCTTCCCAAATGCACTCTTCATGCCTAAGAGGATTTTCACAAGTGCATACTATAAAAGTATCAAAACCTGTTTTGCTTCTGTTAGGAATTGCCTTACTCTCAAGTGAATTATTGACAGCAAGGGATAAAGCAAATATTATGTGTTCTATTGTCAGAGTAAATCTGCCTTCCAGGGTCCTTCAGTCACACACAGATCTTTGCTCTCAGACAGTCTCCTGTTGCATTAAACAATGGTTAACCGTTGAATCTCCGTGTCTGCCATGCAGTTCAAACCAAAACTTTACGCTTTTGCTTTTGTGAAACAAATAGTGACCCCTCAATATTTCCTGTCGCCTCCTTTCCTGTCTACCCACTTCTGGGCGGGGCAATGGAGATCTGAAGTGGGGACAACTTCTCACTGGCAAGAGGCCCTTCAACGAAGCTCTGTTGCCCACCTTCAATCCAGACTTTGCCTTTGCTGTACACGTAACTGGGGGCAGGGGCATTGAAACAGTGTCTGGCCTTCCTGCTCTCACTAATGATGCCGCTAATTTTCTAGCACCTGCCCCACATTGTCACCACACCCAGAAGCCCATGATAGAGGTGGCTGCGACACAGAGCCTGAATGGGAGAAGACTCAGCCGCCTAGCACAGTAGGGAGTGCGACACTGCTTCAGAGACAGTTCCCTTTCCCTCACCGGCTGCACGCTGCCACGGCCTGCAGCATGCTCGGGCCCCCAGAGCTGTCATATGCCAGTGTGTCAGAGAGACCCCGAGGGCAACATATGCCAAACAAAGTAGGTGGGTTGAGAGAGCGTGTATCTGCCGGCCCTCAGCAAACATGGCTAGCCCCTATGCTGCCGGGAGGCAGGGCGGCCCTGTGAGGTGATATAAAGGGAAAATGTGGTCGGGAAGGGGCAGGGATAGAGAGTACCTGGGGGAAGCACCCTGGGGTGCAGGCCTGTGTTCTGCTGCACGATCGTAATGGTCCCCCCTGGCCTTACAATCTGTGAACTGTGGAAGGTGGAAGAATTGAGCAGGACAGGGAGAAATACTGGGGGGGGGCAGAGAGGGAGCGGGAGGGAGATGGTGATGTGGCAGAAGCCAGAGGGAAAAGGGAATATGAGTGGGAGGGCCAGGGAGCAGGTGAGGGTCTGAGACGGAGGGAGCCAGAAGGGGGTGATGGGGCAGGAGCTCGAGGCTGGAGGAAGGAGAGAGTGACTGGGTTGGGGGGCATGGAAGGGGACAGAGAGACAGCTCTGCCACCCCCAGGCTAGGGGAAGGGACAGGAGCCCCCGCCACACGGCTAAGGAGCAGGCCTGTGTTTGTGTGTGCGCATTTATGTTGAATTTCCACCCCAAAACGATCTCACACCCACACACGTTGCAGGGCTGGGGTGTCCCCAAAGGGGTGAATAGTCAGCGGGCCAACCAAAAACAAAACCATTTTTAAAAATCAACCGCCTGGAGTTTTGGGGGGAGATGCCTGTGTTGTGAGTGCTTGGGGTCAGCCCTTCTGTTCACTGCAGATGTGGAGCAGATGTGAGGTGCCACCCACTAGAGGTCACTGGCGGTGCACAGCAGCCAGCGTGCACCGCACAACAAGGAGTTAATGACAAAGCCTGACACGGAGCGTCCTGGGGAAGGGAGTGTGCAGTCAGCTGCTGAGGAAGTTGGGACTGGACTGCAGATGCAACTTTCCCTCTAATGGCTGCCAAGGGGAAGGTAGGTGAGTGTGAGTGTTTGCATGGTGAATGAAGGGCAGCTAAACCAAAGTAGGAGCATGAAGCGGATGGTTACTGGTTACCTCTAAGCTGCCACGTTTGCTTTTCACTGTACAGCAAGGGCAGTCGATTACATTTGTTTTATTGGGAAGCTCTGGTTTGAGCGACGTTTCTATGCCTAGACAATAACAGGCGGACCCTGAATTCAATGCCTTAAGATCATGCCAGGAGTTAAGATCCATCTTGCTCAGGGCTTCGAAAATTGCAATGTCTCGGAATGACAGATAGGTTTATGAAGCCAGACAGCCTCTCATCAACTCCGGCTGAACTGGGGATCCTTTTACTCAGCAATAGAATTGTACGTTTGGATAGAGTTACGGTTACATGTAGGCAGATTTTAAAGCCAGACGGGACCATTAGGATGCACAGGATACAGAATTTCACTGAGTGATTCCTGCATCAGTGACATGTGGTTGAACTAGAAAGTATCAGAGAGTGTCTGAGAGCATAACTGCAATTAATTGAAAGAGCATATTCAATTTTCCTTTCCTTTCCCTTGAATTAAATGATTCTGCAGTTATTAAATCCTTATTTTTCAGCAACTCTTCTAAACAGCTTAATCTCAATCCTAAATTAAAGTACTATCAACACATGCATCTCATTAAAAAACAAAACAAAAGTGTCCCAGCTACAACTGTGCTTAATTGTGTTAAGTAGTCAGGAAGCCTACTTCTTGGTCAGTCATTACCTGTCAGGGTTAATAAGCAACATGTTGGATAGGGGACGTTAACCAGGTAAAAACCAGAACCTAGTGACCTTTTCTCCCCCTGACTTTCTCCAGAAAGAGGAGTGGGATAGTTTTAAGGGAAGAACTTCTGTTTTAAGGGTAAGAGACTGTTTATGGACCTTTTTTCCGTTCAACATGTAATGGACGAATTGTGAGTCTGCTCCAGATATGTTGTGGTCGTGTAAAGGGAGCTTTTCAAATTGCTATACAGTGTATGCACTATAGCTGCAGTCCTGGAACTGGATCTCTGGGAGCAGTTGAAGTCCGGTCAGTTGCTTGTGTTCACACATGCCTATGCATTCCCGCAATGTTGCAAAGTTTGGGATGCAAACACTACCAGAGACCTTTAGAATGGGGGATGGGGAAGGAAGAGTAGTTTTGATAGGAATTTTTAAAGTAAAACGTAACAGGAATCTCTTTCCTTAAACTCTTACATTTTGAGTCCTAATCCAGGATGACCATGTGCCATCAAGTGTCCTAAACATCATCATTCTATGCTGCCATATGGTGGGGTTTAAACAGTCATGCAGATCCGCATATTCTATTAAATTCTCATGAAAATTTACCTGCCTGGGGACAATATCTACTCCTGCACCTTTTGTGTTGATGATGGATGCCCGTAACAGAAAACATACAGTATTCTATTTGCCAATTCACTGGGGGAAAAGAAAGTGCCTACCCTGCACACGTAGGATTTTGCCAGGCTGAGTTAGTATCTGCTTAGTGGAAGCCAATCAGCTGGTGCCTTTACAGTTCTTTTGGTTGCACAAAACACCACATTATCAGAAAAATCCAGCAAAATAGCATCAGTCCTCTGAACTGAACTAAGCATAATTCATCCTCGTTGTAAGACCAGCTCTAGATTTGCAAGTAGGTAATGAAAATGCTGCCATAGGGGATGCTCACCTGGGTTTTCAAGGGCTGACAGACTAATTCATACCATCTGTTCTCTGGGATTCCAGCAATCTCAGATGGCCCAATGGAACAGGAGTGGCTATTTCAGGAGCTCTGGTAGCAGAGATGTGAATCCCGACCTTCAAGCTGAAAGGCAGACTGCCTCCTTCAGTGTGGAGAGGCTCACTACCATATTGGATGGAGGTGCTGACAACACCAGGACACGGAGGGCAGTAGGTGAGTGGCCTTTAAAAGACTTGATGCTTTCTGGATGAGAGAGACATTTCCATGTCCCTGTTATGTCTGTTTCTTCTCTGCAGTGGTGACTCTTATACCCAGTGAGGAACCGTCTCCTCAGATCAAGCAATAAAAAATTAAAGCAAAGAAAATGTCATAAGGGGCTTTAAGAAAGAGAGAGGTGTGAGGCCAGGGTTCTCAGCTGGTGTAAGTCAGTCTAACACCACTGAAGCTACACAAATTTACACCAAACTTTTCGCCCCACTTTTCCTCCTCCAAATCCCTGGGTGACTTCGTAGGGTGCAATAAATTAGGCAAAACATATAACTGAAGCTAAGATTTTGTCATGAGTATTTTTAGTAAAAGTCAGGGACAGGTCACAAGCAACAAAGAAAAATTCACAGAAGCTGTGACCTGTCCCTGACTTTTACTAAAAATACCCATGACAAAAAGGGAAGGGGCTGGGCAGCTGTGGGGTGGCTGGCAGCTCTGGAGCCCCCACCACCCGTGGGGGCTCAGAGCTCCAGGGATCCCCCCGCCCCCTCCCCAGCAGCCAGGGAGCAGGGTTGTTCCATGATTTTTGGGAGAAAGAGTGGTACGGTTGGTTAGGGATAAACTAAAAGGAAAGAGAAGAGAAGGGGAAGAGAGGGCAGGGTAGAAGGGGCAGCTGGGGAGGGAAAGCTGAGATGCAGCGACCCCGAGGGAGCAGGTTGGAGCAAACAGCCAGTCAGCACAGAGTAGAGACAGTCCAGTCAAAATGGCCGATAGTTCTCTGAAGGGCCAAAGGTCCCTGCTTTATCTGCTTCTGTAGCTGTTCCGACTGGATCAAGTCTCTAGCTGGCTTCACTCTGCAGTTTTTTAGGCTGGGAGGTGCATTCGAAATTGTACTAAAGGTCATAGATTCAAAACCCCGGTCTGTATACATATTTCACAATGACCATCAAGTTCAGAACATTACAAGCTTTCATAAAGGACTGTACTCAACATATTGTGATACACAACGTTGTATGCAACCAGTTGATTCAATTGCTTATTCTTTGGGGTTCAGACCTCTTGTCATAAATCTAAAGGGAAGGGTAACCACCTTTCTGCATACAGTGCTATAAAATCCCTCCTGGCCAGAGGCAAAACCCTTTCACCTGTAAAGGGTTAAGAAGCTAAGGTAACCTAGCTGACACCTGACCCAAAATGACCAATGAGAGGACAAGATACTTTCAAATCTGGAGTGGGGGGAACAAAGGGTTTGTCTGTCTGTGTGATGATTCTGCCGGGAACAGATCAGGAATGCAGCCTCACGACTCCTGTTAAGTTAGTAAGTAATCTAGCTAGAAATGAGTTAGATTTCCTTTTGTTTAATGGCTGGTAAAATAAGTTGTGCTGGATGGAATGTATATTCCTGTTTTTGTGTCTTTTTGTAACTTAAGATTTTGCCTAGAGGGATTCTCTATGTTTTGAATCTGATTACCTTGTAAGGTATTTACCATCCTGATTTTACAGAGGTGATTCTTTTACCTTTTCTTTAATTAAAATTCTTCTTTTAAGAACCTGATTGATTTTTCATCGTTTTTAAGATCCAAGGGTTTGGGTCTGTGTTCACCTGTACAAATTGGTGAGGATTCTTATCAAGCCTTCCCCAGGAAAGGGGGTGTAGGGCTTGGGGGGATATTTCTGGGGAAGACGTCTCCAAGTGGTCTCTTTCCCTGGTCTTTATTTAAAATGCTTGGTTATGGCAGCATACGGTTCAAGGACAAGGCAAAGTTTGTACCTTGGGGAAGTTTTTAACCTAAGCTGGTACGAATAAGCTTAGGGGGTCTTTCATGCGGGTCCCCACATCTGTACCCTAGAGTTCAGAGTGGGGAAGGAACCTTGACACCCCTGTTCTCCCCTAGGGGTGTCTGGACCCTGACTGTCACACTCCCTAACTACAAGTAGGCAACTGATTTGACTGGTCCTTCCTACCCTGCTGCATAGAGAGCTGGGATCCCAGAGTGCATTGCTCCACATGATGCACATGTCCCCTGGGCACTGTCCCCCAGCTGAGGCAGTATGGGACAGTGGCCAGGGTAGTCCCAGGATGCACTGACACAAAGACAGTGACGCAGCATGGTATGGGTGGGCAGGCAAACACAGTTGGATACAGGGTTGTGTTACGAAACACCGGCTATGTGGACACAATACAATGTGGTGTGGTAGCCATGTCAAACGAGCATGTCATGACCAGGTTACCATACCGCTTGTACTCACCATGCAGACAGGACTCTGGAGGTAGCCTGGCTGCAAACAAAGCCTACAGCCGTGCCAATGCCAAGGAGGGGGCCAGAGCGGGAGCATGTGTGGTCTGGAGGAGGTTTCTGGCCTTGTCATGCGAAGGAGGGCTGGAAAACAGATCACTAAAATTAAGCTGTGAAGGGAAGAGGGGGATTCTGTGAGTTTGATCAGGTCGAATCCTTGCCTGTGTAGATCACATAGCTCTGCCTCACCTGAAATAGATGCTGGGACCAGGGTTATCTGCAGAGAGCTCTGCCAGGTGAGGCTTTCCCTGTGGGCAGCCAACACCGTGGTAAAGCTTTCCATGGCTGCAGCTTGCTTTCAAACACAGCTCAGGGTTTGCTGAGAGACTAATCATATTGGGGCAGAGGACCCCAAGCTGTATTATCGCAGAGTGAGCTCTCCTGTTCTGTTTTACAGAGGCAGTTATCCACAGTGACCCCGGCTTTAGCAGAGAAAACCAATACTTTCAGAGCCAGAATGAGAGGTATGAAGCAGCAGTCAGAAAGTCTGTCCACCTCAAAGAGAAGATGCATCAAATGGGATGGACTGAAAACAGGCCTGAAATTAAGTACTGCTACAGGTAATGGCTTTAATATTGTTATTATTTTTCTTTAAAAAAAAAATCTGCTTAAATCACACACACCCCAGTTAAGAGGCTGGAGGCTGCAACTGTTAATGGACGGATTAACAGGGGTTCCCCCACAAGCATGTTACAGATTTTTACTTTAGCACTCTGCCTCAGAGGAAAGAAAAACATTGGTATAAAACTCCAAGGGAACCACTCAAGAAGTAGCATACAGCTGCTCCTGCAGAGTAATAAAGGTGACTCAGCATACTGGAAATGGCAGCAGATCCAGCTTCCTCGCACTGTCCTTTCACACTCCCTTCCCATGGGTGCTGCTTGTGAAGACAGATGTGGCCTGGAAGAACTCAGGCCGGGCTCCCAACTCACATGATCCTTTTAAACAATCCACAAGAACAACCAGAAACACATTAAAAATTCCGAGTTGAAATGTGCGAGTGGAAGGTCAGCATTTACCCGCGAGGTGGTGGCATGAGGCCTGGACTGATAACTCCGATTCCCCATGAAAGGTTCTCATCCCCACAGCTGAAACCAGAGAATGCCGTCCCAACTGACTTTTTAAGTCTCTTCCGTAGGATAAAACGCTACTCCAGTGAAAGGCCACTAGTACGACAATCTGACAACGTGGTTTGCAAACAGTCACTGCAGCTCAGCTTTTGAATTCATGAAAAAGGCAGGGAATTTACAAAGTTGTTGGATAAGTTCCATTTTTTTAATAAAAAATGTTTGGTTCATGTATTTATTTAGCTATATGCATAAAGGAGGAAAGCTGCTACCCTGGGCTCTGGGTTCCTTTGATAGAATTTTTAAATGCAATGACAAAATAACCAGCGGCTTTCCCCAACTAGAAAATAAGAAAATAACTAATCAGCACCCTGATGATAACCCACCACATCTGCTTTCATCAGGCCCCTTTCCCCATTTACATCAATGGGACTAGTCATGTGCTTCCAGTTAAGCATGTGCATAAGTGCTTTGTTGAAACAGGGCTGAGTACCTTGCAGGAGGACCGAGTCCCTAGACTGCATCTCATATATAATCACATGGCAAGTTCTTCAAAGGGCCTCACAGTGCTGGAGATTGTCAGGGTTCCCTCCCCACTCTGAACTCTGGGGTACAGATGTGCATGAAAGACCCCATAAGCTTATTTCTACCAGCTTAGGTTAAAAACTTCCCCAAGGCACAAATCCTTCCTTGTCCTTGGACAGTATTGCTGCCACCACCAAGTGAGTTAGACAAAGATTCAGGAAAAGGACCACTTGGAGTTCCTGTTTCCCCAAAATATCCCCCCAAACCTCTACACCCCCTTTCCTGGAGAAGCTTGAGAATAATATACCAACCAACAGGTTAACCAAGTAAGCACAGACCAGACCCTTGAGTTTTTATGACACTAAAAACCAATCAGGTTCTTAAAAGAAGAACTTTATTATAAAGAAAAAAGTAAAAGAAGCACTTCTATAAAATCAGGATGGAAGGTAATTTTACAGGGTAATAAGATTTAAAACACAGAGGATTCCCCTCTAGGCTCAACTTCAAATTTACAAAAAGCAGGAATAAACCTCCCTCTTAGCATAGGAAAAATTCACAAGCTAAAACAAAAGATAATCTAACGCATTTCCTTGCTATTACTGACAATTTTTGTAATCTTAGATGCTTATTTCAGGTAGGGTTTTAGGAGATGTTTTTTTCCTGCCCTGGTCCCTCTCTGACCAAGAGAGAACAACAAGGAGGGCACAAACAAAAACCTCCCCCCACAGATTTGAAAGGATCTTCTTCCCTTATTGGTCCTTTTGGTCAGGTGCCAACCAGGTTATTTGAGCTTCTTAACCCCGTACAGGTAAAGGAGGGATTTTATGCTACCCTTAGCTGTATGTTTATGACAGAGATAGTGAAACAGTGGCAAGTATCTCTACAAACTGTTTTGAAAATTCATTTTTAATAATGTATATTCCTAGCTAGCTAGCTAAAGCGTGTATCACTACTGTGCAGTGCAATCTTCCTTCAACCATTCCCTTACACACATTTCTTC